GTATAAAATTACAAAAGAAAATGTTTTTATCCTTTGATATTTTTGGATATTTTGAAGAATAATGTCATTTTTCGATGTTTCTTTTTTTAAATGTCAATTTTGACAGGTTGAGGAAATCACGTGACCTATTTTGTAGACGCCATTTGACATCATTTCTTAAGCAAAATCTACCGCCAAAATCAAATTTCACATAAAACGATAAATAAAAAAGTTTCCCATTTGATGCGGACTTTATCGGTGACACTGTATAGAGGAAGATAGGTAAGGTGCACAAAATGTCATATGTCACAGAATGTCTTGGAACTCGGAACATAAGTAAACAGAACAGCACGCCTCTGAAATATGTCATCTTTGTTTGTCTCATACAGGTAACAGATTCATTGTCCTTTATTAGCTATAACCGATGTTGCCAAATGGTGAAATAGAAACGAATCCCTTTAAATGTTGAATGCATTATTTCATTCTTTTTTTTTAAGTATTTAAATAATTTTTCAAAGAAAAAGGTTGAAATGATAAGTTTAAAATGCGTTGCTTTAGAGCTCTTTTATGAAAACTACTTGATTTTCGTCAGGAGGAACATTCCCCATTAAGTAGCGCCGTGTACAATGATTTCGTTGTCACCCGGTATACAATGAATATATTTACGTACCTACCAGCTATTTAAAATATATCAAAAATAGAATTATGCAAAAATAAGATAAATACTAAATATTCTGGCAATATCTTGAATTTATTGGAGCCTCTGGATTTATGCTGCAGGTTTTTCCGGGTTTTCCTGCAGCTGACAAAGCAAATGCGCCACTGGAATCAGTCAAGTCGCCCCGGAGCGTCAATTAATTTTTGTTGTTGTATCATAATTTGTATTACCGTGTCGGGAATCACACGTTAAAAAGTAAGACCTCGTTAATCCTTAGCTCGCACAAGTTTCGACTTCTGAGGGCTGTCGGTTGCGACAGCTGGTTAACGGGAAAACAGATTTTCTTTTATATGTTTCCACGAGATTAAATTATGATATACATTCTTCATTGAAGAATTAAATCATAGAATTTTGTACCTTTCCTAATTGAATATCAATTCAAAGTATACCTAAATATTCAGAAATTTTATATTTCACCTCCTTAGATATGCATAGTTTGGTTGAGGCCCATTTATCAAAAGCTTAACTTGGAAGTTCCAACTAATCTCTTGTAAGTATTACATATTTATAATTTGTGCAAGTTCCATTGAGTCATAAAACTAATCAGTAATATGTTGGAAATTAAAAAGCCATTAAACGCTCATTTCCTGAGTACTGAAAAATGTTTACTTAATGCGATTGAACTTATCGCAAGACTATCTCTCAGGTTATGAACAGAGGAATTTAAAAATTACTAGCCTATCACTGAGCATTTTTATCACTTTATAGTCTAGGTCACAAGATCCTTTCTTTGGAACTTCTGTTCAAGTGTACCGAAAATTATGATCCAGGGCTTATTCTATTCGGAATGACCTCTAGCAACTATTAGAAAAAGTTAAAGGGGAGCTCGAAAAAATTGCAAAAGTTATAAACAATTTAGTAAAAAAAGAGGGGGGTTGGTTTTTTGTTCGCAAATATCTCGGAAAATATTAATGATATCCAAACTTTGAATAAAAATCCATAAAGAGGAAATTTCCTAAAAAAAAGTCCCACCTCCCGGAACTCTATCACCAATATTTATAATTTTAATTTAGAGGTGAAAATAGCTCTAAAAGCAGGCAATGCTCGTTCTCCATGCGCTGACCAATACGGACCTTTGCACAATAAAAATTATTTAAGCCCATTAAATATCATTATTGAGAAAAAAATTCGCATACCTTCTAGACAATTGAATAAACGAACCGTTTACATTTTTTTCCCTGTGATTATTTTATTAGATATACTTTAGTTAATTAACTGATTTTTACAAGTTTTAAATTGAAACTTCAAATTTAAAACTGACATAATCTTCAAATTTTTTTCACTTCTTGAAGTATTTTTTGAAATCCTTCAAAGAAGATTTTCGTTGGAAAAATCAAAAAAATTTCATTTTCCACTTTGTTATTAATAATCAAAGACGTTAAAAAGTGGAAAATTCAATTAAAGCAATGAAAAATATTTTTTTAATATTCAAATTTATTCGTATTCTTATTGTTTAAAGTTACATAAAAATTATTTTTCATAATTTTTAGCTCTATTTGTTTGAAAAATTGTTGTGAATAAATGTATTGTTTATAATATATTTGAAAATTTTGGAGGAATGTTTTTAAGTGAATATTATGATTTTTAAAAACAAAATCGTTTCTTAAAAAATTGTTTTGCTCAAAAACGCATTTGTTGAATTACACATTTTTTTCCTACTAAATATGAATATTAATTTGCAGTGCGCCCTTGGACAGAAGTTCCATAAAAAGGATCTTGTGACCCAGACTAAAAAGTAGATATTTACAAACTCGCTAATAAAATGTGACATGCGTTAAATTGTCAGCTTTAACAGTTTACACCTGAAAAACAAATCCATTTGAGTAAAAAAATTCTTGTTTCTATAACGTATAGTTTAAAATTTCATTTAACCTCCAGATCGACAGTTTATTATTTATATTGCCTGCACAATACAGTACTTAGCTAAAGACATAATAACCATACGAAGAGTTATAAAGACTTGTGGTAACATTTGAAAACAGTGTATGGAGAAATAAGTTTTTCAAATTTTTCTCCATTGGGAGGAAGATGCTTCAATTTTTGATAGTGAACTGAGTGCCGCGACGATTTTCATGATAATTCAGAAATTAACGATAAATCCCTTTGTTCGTTTTAGCCAGACAGATTTCAAAGAATCATGATTGTGTGCAAAATGAGGAAAATACACGGAATTTCGTAATTGCAGAGTGCATGATCCTAAATCTCTGGGAAATCCCTTTATCAACACTGACGAAATGCCCATACCCCACATAGGTATGAACGACAGATAAGAGCTGAAAACTTTGCAGACAGTTTCACAAAGGAAATCCATATATACGTCAATGCAAGTTGCGGTAAAATTTCAACTCATTCGCTCTGACGTCATAGGCAAAGGTTGCTATCAATTTCGAGAAACTACAAAACAAAGGAAATACCGAATCTGGTGTGCTCCTTTGTACTGGAATAACAAAGCATCGAAAATCGGCCGTGAAGTGCACCTTGTTTATTCGAGTGACGTCGCAAACGCAAGGATGCAATTACCAAATTGTACTTGGAAGGAGACGTTATGTTCCGTTCATGCGCGCCTCTACAAATCGACAACTCTTGATAATGGTGTAACGTTGCCGGCACGACGATATACACTATTTTCTGAATGGGGGATTGTAAACAGACATTATTTCCAAGTTGCATATTAGATGAATGTTTCCTTGAAACGTGAAAGAATACCCGGACTGATCCTAAGCAATAAGTATATAAATAACAAAAGAATGGCCCAAATTCAAACACATATGAATAACATGCCACCTACCGGCTATTCTCAGGCACTCTCAGATAAGAAAAATCATTTTTATAATATTCAAAATATTTTAGGTAGCTCTATCTTTATATCGGACTTTGTAGGTACCTATTTGTTTTGTCGGTAACAACTCAGTTGATTTATTAGCATCTCACACTTCTATAAATCTTCAATAGGATAGAATTCACTGAATTTATGAGCGACATCGAGGATCAAGTTTAAATTATCCAAAATAAAATGCGGATTTGCGGATATGTTCACGCATATGGATAATGATCGAAACATGGCAACACTGGCCCAGTCGCCCAAAGGAATTTCAAATCGTATTTTCGGTTGTTATTGAACTAATTCAAAGTGGCTAACTGGCGCATTGTGCGTGAGTTCATTCCTACGCATCAAAAATTGTTTACCAACGAGATTCAAACGCCGGAGTATTCCGTTATACTACAACGCATTATCAACAAAGAGAAGATAACTTTTCCGGTTTCTCTGGTTTGGAGCAGTATAAAGTTGATTTCAGAAACAATTACTAAACTTATTCAGAAAACGCTTACCTCGATTCCTACAGGCTGGATTCTTATGATAACCTCATCAGTTTCGGCATAATGTTTGCAGACCTCTCCGCAGATCTCTCTGCCATTGTGAGTCACAAAACATTTCTGTCCACCCACAAGTTCAACGCCCAGTACAGACTGAAAACCGGGGCCGATGAGATCCTGTTCGTAGAATTCGGCAGTTGTTCTTCCCAAATTTCCTTGTCGCGAGTCGAAACGAACAGTATATCTGGTATTCGGCGTCAAATTGATGGAGTTGTTGTTTTCGGAAACATTTGCCGGCGTTTTCACGGCCTGAATAACTCCGGAATAAAACTTCCCGTCCTCGCCGGGAGCACAGACACGAGTTCCTATGATGGAACGTTTCGCCAAACGCTTACCGGTAGACATTATAAAACTTGGCAAACAACAAAAATAACAAGAGTTCAGATGAACTTCTCACAACACAACGTCATCCGTGAAGTGAAGTCTCCTCGCTAACAATCGGCGCTGCTGATAATCGAAACACTTTACAGAACCATCTAATAATATTTTGTGATCGTAAGAAATGCACATACTTATTAACAGATTAAAAGTAGCCTACTTACAGAGAAGGCTGCGTCACCGTAAACAGTTCAGCGACGACTAACTGCCGGCCGGCCTTACTAGAGTGACAACAGCTGATTTGGGTGGGACACGATACTTACACCGGCTCTTTGTTTAGAACCGAGCGACGAGTGAGATAGCGCATTGTCGTTGATCGGATGGGCTTCGCCGGCCGGGACCCAGCTGATGATAACAACAAAGCCACGTGACCGAAGAAGGAGCTGGGCGATTGGCTTGCGACTGACCTAGTTTGAGCTATTGGCTAACTCGTGGAGAGAGAAAGGTCATCCAGTTGGCTTTAGGCTCGTTTCACCAGCAAGATTTTTCTATTTGTTGCATTATTTCAATTTCAAAACAATTGATGGTGAAAATATGGCAGTTTGACAATTTGAATTAATATATTATAGGAGATAAACAGATCAATAGCCATGACACAAACTCCGAACACATACTAGATTAAAAGTTGAATCAAATAGGTGTGATGGGGTCTGAATCAGTTCATGAAATTACCTTATTTATATATACAGTGTCACCATATGGGAAACTTTTTTCTCGAAAAGTTTCAATGAAGTTCAACTTCGGCACTTGTTTGTGCTTTAAATTTAACTTAAAATGATGCGGCCAACTGCGACCCACTGACGTTGAGTGTTTGTCAAATTCAACTTTTTTTTTGAAAAATATTGAAAAAGTATTTCTAGATCGAATTTAACAAAAAGTTACTTAAAAAAGTTGTGTCTACGGCAATTTTATATCCATATGCCAAATTTTATGCAGCTAGGATAAAGTGATTGAAACTTTGCACCAGTCATGTTAAACTTTTTATAGCACATTTTTAATTTCTCTCTAAAAATGTCCGTGTAAGTAAAAATTTATCAGAAAAGTTAAACTCCATGATGAGTTTGTTATGTATACATGAATTGATGACAATTAACCGAACTTGTTTTTTAGTCCATTAATCCCCAGAACTATTTTTTTCCAAAATTGGTTATCCTGATAACTTTTTCAGTTCAAGGAACGTCAGAAATGACTCAGAAATATACTTTAAAAAATGCTATCTTTTTGGTTTTTGAGTTTTGAGGTGGGTCGTTAATGACCCCTTGGGACTTAGGAGTGCAATAAATGTACATTTGAGATATAAGGTGGTTCATTGACTTTATATTATTTGAAATTAACTATGATACGTTTGAAAGCATTTATCATGTAGCGGAACTTCACAAGCATCACAAGACTTGTTGGTTTTATTTTTGGATAACACATATCGGAGTCTTCTTTGTCCAGTTAAGATTATGTGTCGTCCGCTTGCAATTTTTGGATACGAATGCTTGCCCTCTTCGGTCCTGGACATGTGCGTCGTTTTCCGTATTTCAGTAAGAGTGCTTGTGTAAGTAAGATTGTCTTCACTGTATCCATACTCACGCGCTAAAAGCCATGCATTTGTGACACATACATCGAACATCCAAAAAATTAGCGGAATATACCACTTTTTGCCTCTAAATGCAATTCGGTAATTTGAGACGTGATTATCCAGCTGATCCACTCCCCCCATGAAAGTATTATACCTATTTACAACGTAAGGCTGTGATATGTTTACTTTAGATCTTTCTTTTGTCGAATATCTTTTACATTTGGCCACTGGTTCTAACCCATACTCATTAGACATAAGTGTGACAATATTGTTATCCTTCCAGCGAACACCAACCACATTATTATGGTTATCAAGTGCAGAACACATGGAGCCTCTATCAAGCTTCTTCATTGTGGCAGTTTCTATCAGTTTGCATTTGCCAGTTCTGTTTTCTCTAGTGGTACCTGTTGCTCCTATCCTTTTTTGACCCAACGATGTGATTAGTTTTGCAGAAGTGAAAAAATTGTCAAAATAAAGGGAGAATTTTTGATCATCGTAATGTTTTTTCAGTATTTCTGCAAAATGAAATACTATTGATTCTCCCAGTCCTATACCTTTGTCGATATCCATGTTCTTATCTTTGCCTTGTTACACTTGAAACTGTACACAGTATCCGTACTTTAATGCTGCAACCCATGCCTTATATCCAAAACGGATAGGTTTACCTCTTATGTATCGTTTACATCCATGCCTTCCATAGTAAGGAATCATGGATTAATCAATGGATATGTTGCTTTCAACAGGTGCATTTTGTAAAAAGTTTTTATTTAGTGCATCAATAAGATACCTAACTTTGGCAAACTTATCGTTTTGAGGCAAGTTATCGTTATCTGCTGCATGCAAATTAGAAGATATTTAAAAAAAAAACGATTTCTGCGCATAGACTTGGCCACCAGAGGATTATGAACATCTTCGTTTGTTTCCCAATACATTGTTCTTCGTGGTAATGGAGCATATCCACTCAAAAGGAGAATTCCTATGTAGGTGTACATATCGCCAACATCCAACTGAATTCCTGCTTTATTTCTTTTCGCAGCATACAAGCATGAGAATCTTACTAAATTTTCAATAATTTCTGGGGTCAAAAATAGTTCAAAAAAATCTAAAGGATCACTCTTCCTGGAAACAGTTAGGGGCTGACAAAATTTAAAATCAGTATTGGTTTCATTTTTCTGGAAATCACCTGGTGCTTGCCATTTGAAATCTGCAATTTTTGGCAATGTTTGTGAAAAAATGAAGTTCCAATATTATGATTCACAGGTAAGTTTTTAGAAGTAGAGGGTTGAATTGTCTCCTGAATTACTTCTGCGGCTTCTTTGCTTTCTTCTGGGGGGTCGGAATTGTCATAAAAGAACTCTGTTTCAGCATTTAGTTGTGCTGCACAAAGACGGTCCGGATCCCTACAGTCTTCGTCTCCTGAATCTTCGGCACTCTCATCACCATCATTAGGTGGTAATATCACAATTCAGTCTGGAATCACATCATCTGCCTCTAAATTCTCTATCTGCTCTGAAAGCTCAGCAGCTGTGAGTGGGCGCTTCCTAAAAAAATAACCAATAAAAATATTCAAGGACTTCTGAGGCCCAAGGGGTCGTTAACGATCCACTAAAAAAAAACACATGCAGTTAGGCAACCACGCAATCGAAGTTTGATTTCTTATAACCTTACTTGTGAGACATCTTTTATAATTATACTAATTTACCAAAATAAGCAATGAAATACTAAAAAAGGTACTTACCAGTTCCGATATGAAGTCATTACACGCACAAGAAAAAAATACTATTTTCAACAATTTCTCTGAAGCCAGACAGACAATCACAAAAACCCTGAAACAAGCGCCCGGCATGCAAAAGGTAAACAATGCTAATATGGAAATAAATTTTGATCTTTTGTTTATGCAAAAAAAGTTAGGTTTGACAATAAAAATCTGAAGTGGGTAGTTAACGATCCCAGGGTCCTTAATGGGTTAAAATAAAGGGGGATATCGTTAACTTAATCCTAGTTGCATAAAATTTGGCATATGGATATAAAATTGCCGTGGACACAACTCTTTCAAGTAACTTTTTGTTAAAGTCGATCTAGAAATGCATTTTTTCAACTTTTTTCAAAAATAAAGTTGAATTTGACAAACATTGAACGTCAGTGGGTCGCAGTTGGTCGCATCATTTTAAGTTAAATTTAAAGCACAAACAAGTGCCGAAATTAAACTTCACTGAAACTTTTCGAAAAAAAAGTTTCCCATATGATGCGCACTTTAATGGTGTATATAACTGTATATAATAGAGTTTAATAGTCATGAGGTTTCGTTTACCAATAATTTTTCATTTGATATAAATTGAGTAACTTGGTTTGGAAACTTTAAATTTTTAATTTTTATTTCTTGTTAATAATTTTTTTTATTTTCATCTGTTGTTAATATTTCAATTCTTTGATTTTTTGGTTATTGCTTGTATTTTATTCCATTGTAATTTCAGTTTTTCACTTGATATAATTTTTAATTTTCAGCTAATCTTTTTTAATTTTTACAGATTTTTTCAGGGATTTCAAATCAATTTATATCATATTAGACAATGGAAGTTTTACTTTGATAGGATGCAGGTACAAGCTTTCTTTAATATACCTACAAAATAACTACAAAAATGTTTTTTATAGGTACCTATTTTTTATGACAGGTCTATAATTTTTAATTGTTGGCAAATAAACCTTCCCTCTCCTAACACCCTAAATAGTTCCCGCAAGTAATAATTAGGTACCAGCAATATATACAAGATAAAGTGTTTTGTTTGGATTACTTAGTCCCTAGTCGAGTAATATGAGTCCTTGGCCATTGGAGATGCAAAAGTAGGGGTCAAAGAAGCTTGTTTCTTGTATACAGTTTCTTAAGGAATATTATACTCACGGAAAATTCAGCTGAAAAAAGATTGTAGTTGACAACAATCAATGAGTTAGTTATATCTCGTATAAGTAACATTTTATTGTGGGATTATCACTGAGCACATGTTTTTTATAAAATAGCTTCCTCAGGCGTGTTCATACTGATTAACTTTTACCTAATTAGTGCTTTATAATATAACAATTTGAATCATATGACCTTTAACCTACTCAAAAAAAGGGGGTTTGGTTTTTTGCAGATATCTCGGAAAATATTAAAGATATCCGTTGGAAAATTGAAAAGTTTTGATTTTCCACTTTGTTATTAATAATCAAAAACGTTAAAAAGTGAAAAATTCAATTAAAGCAATGAACATTTTTTTTATTCTCAAATGTATTCGTATTCTCATTATCAAACCCCCTTTTTCTTTCTAAATTGTTTATAACTTTCGCAATTTTTTCGAGCCCCTCTTGAAATTTTTCATAAAGTTGCTAGAGGTCATTCCGAATCAAATGAACCCTGAATCATAATTTTTGGTGCCCTTGGACATGAATAATGCCATTGCCTTCCGCTGACCTGGCCCTAGAGACTTACAACTAGGCATCTTCCCTCTATCTAACGCCATCACTGTCAATGGAACCCCTACTCCTCCGAACTCACCCCCCCTTCGTGTAGTCGACGCATAACGCCGGCCACACGAAGGGACGAAACCAGCGGGGGTAGAAAACCCATTTATCTTTATTGTTAATACAAATTATTACATTCAATTTCTACAAACTTAAAATTTACATTCTTCAACAATAACTATTATCTAACTAATATCTATCT